TTGTCTGAAGTGCACCCTTGGGTGAGCTCTGCCGCATGGAGACATTGTGGTACCACACGGCAAGGGCAATGAACCCTGTCACACCCGCAAGTGTCCCGATGTGCTCCTCTGCGTCCTTTCCTCCCGGTCCTCGTTCCGTGGTGGCTCTTCGGTGGGAGGAGGTGGGCTTCTTTCCTGCAGCTCCGTCATCTGAGGTTGTCCTGCCTTGCTGCCTGCCCAGTGGCTTGCTCTTTTTTACTGCACAGTAATATGCTAGCACAGAGCGGTCCTGTGGGTTTACCCATTCGCCTGTGTGTGGGTGTCCTGGAGATTGCTAGATTTTGGCTGTTGAATGTGATGAACAGGCCAGGCGAGGTGTCACACACCATAATCCCAGCACTCCGGGATGCTGGAGGAGAAGGATCATGGGTTCCAGCCCAGCCTGGGTAACTTAGTGACTTACCAATTTTAAATAATTTTTATAAAAAAGACTGATGAATGGAGCTCAGTATGAAAGCCCTGGGTAAAGTCTCTACTACAAAAAAAAAAAAAAGAAAGAAAAAATAAAAGGCAAATATTTGCATACAAGTGTGGCTTTGGAATTCTGAGTGTAATACAAACCACACGCTTGGCTGGGTGTGTACTTGGTGTGATGTAGATTTTCTTTATCGTAAATACTTAGGGATGTAAAAAATAGCTGGGTCATATTTTTTAACTTTTTAAGGCACCAACAAACCGTTTTCTTTTTTCTTTTCTTTTTTGGTGCCAGGTATTGAACTCAGGCCCTCGCGCTTGCCAGGCAGGCACTTAAGCCACTGAACTAAATCCCCAGCACCCACCAAACTGTTTTCCAAAGTAAATGTACGATTTTCCATTCCTACCAACGATTTAAGGGAATTCCAGTTGGTGCATGTCCTTGCCACTCAGCATGGTCCATCTTTTTCATTTTAGCCTCCTGCTAAATAAGTAGTGATATCACAGTGGTTTATATTTGCATTTTTCTAAAGACTAATACTGTTGCACAACTTTTCACGGGCTTACCTTCCACTTGTGTCTCATGTGGATAAAATGTCTATTTTGAGATGATATTACTCACTAATTTTATGCTTTAATACAGTTTTATTCATTTTTAAAAAGCATTGCAATATGAAATAAGTGTAGGAAACACAGTTCTACCACGTCTAGAAACATCTACTATGAACGTTTGACATGAAAATTAAGTACCATTTTTTCCACGCAGTGCATTGTCTCTTCACTCTCTTGGTGATTTCTTTTGCTATGCAAAAGCTTTTTAATAACACGAGGTCCCAGTTGTTGATTCGTGGAAGCATTTCCCATGAGGTCTGGGTTTTTGTTCATGAGCTCTCTACCTACACCTGTGTCTTCAAGATTTCTACCTACTTTCTCTTCTAGTGGATTTAGTATTTCTGTCTTAATATTTAGATCTTTGATCCATTTTGACCTTACTTTAGTGCATGGTGATAGGCGTGGGTCTAGTTTTAGTCTTCAGCATGTAGACAGCCAGTTTTTCCAGCACCATTTATTTATTTATTTATTTATTTATTTATTTATTTATTTTTGGTACTGAGGATCAAAGTCACACCCTCACACTTGCCAGGCAAGTGCTTATGCCACTGAGTTAAATCCCTGGCTCCAGAACCATTTATTAAAGAGGCTATCTTTCTTCCAGTGAACATGTTTGGCCCCTTTTTCAAAGATAAGATGGCTGAGTGTATTTGTAGTTGTGTCTGTATCTTTTAATCTGTTCCACTGGTCCTCAGGTCTGTTTTTTCTTTGTTAGTACCATGCTGATTTTATCATAGTAGCTTTGTAGTGTAATTTCAAGTGTAGTGTACGATGCCTCCTGCCTTGCCTTTGTTGCCCAGGATTGCTTTGCTATTCTAGGTCTCTTCTGGTTCCAAATGAATTTTAGGACTTCTATCTAGAACATATAAAGAATTGAAAAACATCAGACTCCCTCCAAATTCAAAGACCCAATAAAAAATGAGCAGCTGAGGTGAACACACACTTCTCAGATGAAGAAATGCAAAGGATTGCTGTCAAGAACATGTAAAGAACTAAAAAAATCAGTCCTCCCTCATTTAAAAACCCAACCCAGAGATGGGCATCTGAGACGAATGACTCAGATGAAATACAAACAGAAAATAAACATGTGAAAAAGTCACTGGTCATTTGAGAGATGCAAATTAAAACAACACTGAGATTCCATTTTACTCTACAAAGAATGGCTGTCATCAAGAAATCAACTGATGACAGATGCTGGAGGGGCTGTGGGGAAAAAGAAGCCCTGCTGTTGGTGGGAGTGTAGACTGGTGCAGACACTGTGGAGGTCAGTGTGGAGATTCCTAAAAAAATTAGGTTTGGAGAATGCATTCAACTCAGCTATTCCCCTCCTGGGTATTTTACCAGAAAATTGAAAACATCATGTCACAGTGGTATATGTGCACCCATGTTCATAGCAGCACAATTTGTAATAGCTAATCATGGAAAGAACCCAAATGTCCTTCAACTGAAGAATGGATAAAAAAGTTGTGGTATTTTTATACCATGGAGTACTACTCAGCCATAAAGAAGGATATACCTCAGTCTTTAATAGATAAATGGATGCTACTTGAGGCCATACTCATAATTGAAATAAATCCATCAGATTCAGATGTGTAAACATTGCATTGTTTCACTGATATGAGAAGTTGAAAGAGTAAATAAGATCTAAAATGTATAATAGATATTGTGAAAGTGAAAGGGAAAGAAACTGCTCAATAGGAAAGTACAACTGGGATGGAAGGAAGGAGAAAAGACAGAAAGGGAAAGATAATATATAATCTCATATATCAAATAATATAGATACAAGGTAGATAATTATACTATTAGTCTCTTCTGGTTCATCAGAAAGAACAGTTTGTGCTTTTATTGTCTGATCATTTTTCTGCCTATATCTTGTAATCTGAGCAACTACTTTGAAGATAACAATATGTAACATATTAGCCATTGTTAATCTATTATGTTGCTTTGAAATTCTGTACCATCGTTTTTATTCTTTGTTCATTTCAAAAAAGAACGCCTTGCCTGACCGGTGAGGGATTTCCATCCAAAACAGGCAGGAGGATGTCCCTGCCTGTGCGAGGAAGCTTAGCTAAGAAACCGCATGGTTAGATGGCTGGTCTTTTGAAGAACACAGGAGGGTGCGTAGCCGTTCGGTTTGTGTGTGTCTTTATTCTGTTGTGTAGAATCAGGAGGTGAGTCTTCACACAAAGATGCTCAGCAGCGCTGGTCCTGAGGAAATGCAGGCTCGATCTCTTTGGCTGCCTGGGCACGGGCCACCCTGCAAAGCCCGTGCTGTTGGCGGGAACAGAGCGCGTGGACGCGGAGGAAGGTGTGACTTCGGAAGAGGCAGTCTGGTCAACAGAGAAAAGGCATACGCCTCTTATTCAGGGGTTTTGCTTTTCTTCTTTTCTTTTTGGCATCAGGAATCGAACTCATGACCTTGCACTTACCAGGCAAGTGCTTGAGTCTCTGAGCTAAGTCCCCAGCCCAGGTTTTGCATTTTCTGTCCTGTTATATGGCATAAAGATGTGCACACCTGTGTTCATTTGAAATAGAAAAAGTGCAAACTATATAAATTGCATTAATAAGAACAGGATACATCTATCTATTTTTTGCACATGTAATTGATGATTTAAAATTCTTTTTATCAGTACACGTTTGCAGGGATGTTTACAGCCCTTGTGTGGGTTGCTGTGGGTACGTAACACATCTTAATTCCTTTTTATCCCTTTTCCTGCCTCTCCCTCCACCTCTTAATCTCCTCCTCCTTTGAGAAACAGCGAGCTGCCTACTTCCTGTTTGCTGTCTTTTATTTTACCTTGTATTTGTGCTTTGGGTTTCTCATATAAAAGATACCACGTGATATTTAAGCTTCTGAATTTGATTTATTTTGGTTAACATTATGGTCTTAAGCTGCATCCATTTCCCTACAAATTCCTCGTTTATCCTTCTTTATGGCAGCATAGTATTCCATCATGTACAAATATCACATTTTTTAATCCATTCATCTGATGATAGACATATAGGTTGCTTACAAGATTTAGCCATTATGACTTGTGCTGCTGTAAACATGGGTATGCATGTATCAATGTAAGACGAAGTCTTTACCTCCTTCAGGAAGTTAGGTCTCTATATTTTGTCTTGGAAAAAAAATCTGGAATATATTGAATGAAAAATGTAAGTTATGAATTGTATGAAAATATTATTATTATTGTTATTATTTGTAGTGCTGGGGCTGGACCAGGGCACTGAATGTGCTCTATCAGAGACCTATATCCCCAGCCCTAATTTCAGTGTTTTAAAATTATATATAAATAATCATACCTTAAGAAATCATTAAGGCAATAATTCCCTTATCACCTATTGAGTAGCTTGAACACAATCTCCTACCTATGTGTTTTTGTGTGTGTGCATACGGTATGGTAACACCTCGGTTCACGAACGCTTCTGTTCGGGAACTATTCACAAGCTATTTACAAACAGAAGCGTTTGGCCAAATCTCGCTTCCTTTCGAGAGCCCCAAACTCGGTGGAGAACAAGACTGCAGCAGGCACCTCAGAATTATCTAGTTAAGTTCGCGGACCGAGGCCGCACTGTGTGTGCAGCGCCACATCCTCTGCCCGGATGTAAAACACGGCTTCAGCCCGTGCGCGTGGCCGGCTCCGTGCGCTCCTTTTTCCTCCCCAACCCGGGATCCGTTTAGGAGTTTGGGCAGGGGCTGCCTGCGGTGTAGCCCAGCTGGCTGGGGGTCCCTGGACTCCGGCATGCACAGGGGAGCTGCACTCTGCACTGTCGTCCCGGGGGACAGTGGAGCTGGGGCAGAGGTGCAGGGGATGGGAGCGGGGTGCAGGGTGGAGACTGGGCCCTTTCTCACTCGATGCCTGCTCACGCGGGGAAAGACTGCGCCCTTTCCTCCCTGTCCGAGTTCTCTTTTCCTTTCTCTCCACGGGAAACAGAGCCTTCTCCTGGCGGCCGCCTATGTTTCTGATGCCCAGTACAACAGAAATGTCCCCTTCCAGACGTCCCCTCAAGCCATCAGGTAATTAAACTATTAAACCGCACACGGTAAGGTCTGTCCACCAGCACCTGAGATGCTGGAGGCGGAACCAAACTCAAGCTGTTGCTTCCGCAGGCGGTTTTGGGCCCGATCCAGGGCACAGCACGGTGGGAGAAAGCCCCGAGCTGTGTGCTAGGTCCAGGAGCCTGGTGCTTTCCTGTGGAGGGGCTGTCACCTGGCCCCACGCCTGGACACGGGAGTTGGGGCGCTGGCCCTGAGGATGTCATTGCGCTGCCTCTCAGAGTCACCCAAAGCCAAAGAAAAGCCTTCCATTTTCCCCTTTGGGCTCTTTTGATGAAATCTACATGTTTGTTCTTTTTGCAGGAATCCACAATTTTTTTTTCTTTTACCCCTTAAGGGCTGAACAAGACCAGCATTTTTTTGGTCTAGAATAAAGGGGCAAAACGCATTTCTTATTACCAGGGCTCAGTTCAGCGTCTCTGAAAGCAGCAAACGCCCAGTCCCTGGATGCTGCCCCAGGTGTGGGAGACAGTCCCCAGCCAGGGCAGGAGCCCCATGAGCCCCAGATCTGTTGGGGTCTACCGTGGAAAGGTGGGATAGTGCACAGCGTCAGATTGGCCTGGGTCACCATGCTACACAGCGATGGGTCGCTTTGACTGGGGTCCACTTCTGGGTCAGTCGCTGGGCGTCTCAGGAGCGTTCTCTTTCTCCTGATCCCCAAGCCCCATGAAACAGGTGCTCATCTTAGCCTGAGCCTACTCAGAAAATGTGCTTTGAGATGTTAGCATTCTCTTGGTTTTTCTCCTAAGGTTCTATGGTATGAGTTCACTTAGACACTGGCCCTGCTCCCTGGGACTTAGAGGAGATGCGACTAAGCCAGAGGTTCTTTATCTACACTCATCTTTAAATTTTTTTTTAATTTTAAAAACAAAACAAAACGGATAGAAATAATACAGAATTTCAAAAAACAGGAAATTAACACTCTTTAGTATATTGCATATTGTTATGTTAGAAGTAGTTGTTCAGATTATAGGATTGAGGCATAAAAGTGATCAAACTATCAAACGTTTATTTTATTTTTATGATCCTGGGCCTCAAAGTCAGGGCCTTGCCCCGCACACACCAGGCGAGTGTTCTTACCCCCAAGCTTCGCTCCCAGGGCCGCCTCTGTATTTCTTCTGACTTTTATTAGTATGCGTTTGCCCCAGGCACTGTGGGGGTTGGTACATGTACGAAAGCATTTCAGTTCCCTCTTTTCCCCTCTTCCCGCTCATGACAGAGAAGTTTGGGTGCTGTTTGACTCCTGTGCTGTGGTTGTAATGCCTTTGCTCTTCTCCTCTCCAGACTTTACTGTTTTTATAACCACTGGACAATGCGGTTGGCCACGTACCTCTTCATCTGCGTGGACCTCTCTCTGGCCCTGTTCGAGGCGCCTGCGCTGTTCCCGCTGCCTTTCGTGGTGAGCTCTGAAAGAATGAGATGTTCTATCACCAAGCCACGTGGGTCCTTATGTTCCTCAGATTTCAACCAATAGGAATTCGATTTTGTCGTCCTTGCCGGGGTTTTGAACTCACCTGCTCCCTGACTGAAGCTTCAGGGCGGTGGAAGTTTTTAGACTCTTATCCAGGCAGAAGGGTATCAGGCGTGTTCTAGAATCATCTTTAGTTGATATCAAATAGATGATGTCGCAGGCATGGTGGCTCACGCCTGTAATCCCAGCACTCAGGAGGCTGAGGCAGAAGGATCGTTGTGAGTTCGAGACCAGCCTGGGCTACAAAATGAGCTCAAGGCCAGCCTCAACCACATAGAGAGACCCTGTCTAAAAAAGACAAATTAAATAAATAAATAGATAAACAGGCGATGTCATTGTAGAGCGGCAAGGGCAAGGCCTTTAGAGCTGGCAGTGACATGAACAGCCACGGTGGCATGTGTGCCATAGATTCACCACCACTGTCCTAAAGCCAACGAGGTGAGGTGTAGCAGCCACATTCTTAGCTGTCTTTGTGGTCAGAAGCATTCTTTACTGGGGGTAACTAGGGGACCCCAGGGGCTTTGAATATGACGTAGCCATCAGTCTAACTGGTAATCCAGTGGGTCCAAACGACAGACCAACGGCCTGCTTGCGTTGATGCTCGACTCTGTCACTCACCTGGCCTAATGACTGTCATTTGCTCGGCACTTACTGTCTACTGGGTGCTCAGACAATTTCTCCTTACACCTCATAGTGCCCTTTGAGGTTGTTATCATCTGCTTTTCAGCAGATGAGAGAGCTGAGCCCTCGAAGTTCTGTCTAACCTGCCCCAGGTCACTTAGCAGTTGGGTAGAGATAGTCCAAGCCAGGTAACCACACGGACTCTTCTTTATTCTTCCATGTCTCAGGTATCTAATACTGTGTCACAAACTACCCCGAAACTCCAGTGCTTGCAATGGGAATATGAAAACTGTGCCATGGGCCCAATGTGGCTGCTGCCTGTTTTTGTGCATCTCTGTGCCATAAACAGAGTGTTTGTTCTCGCTCTCACCCATGCATTGGTGGAAACCTAACATGAAATACGATGGTATTTAGAGGCAGGGATTTTGTGAGGGGATCAAGTCTCGAGGGTGGAGCTTTCATGAACAGGATCAGAGCCCCCGTCCTTTCTGTCCCTTGTCCCTTCTGCCATGTGAAGACAGCGTAAAGAGGGTTGTCTGGAAGCCTTCAGAAAGTGCATTCCCAGCAGAAACCGCATCTGCCAGCACCTTGGTCCTGGGTGTCAGCCTCCAGAACTGACAGACATATGTTTCTGGTGTTTAGAAGCTACCCAGTCTATGGTATTGGACAATTCATATTTTGTGGCACGAAGGGGTGAAAGCCAGGAGCATGGCTCATGGGAGGCCGCCCAGGAATATCTCGCATGCTTCCACATGGTGAAGACTCTGCAGGTCTCGGGTTCTCTGGGTAGAAGACTTTTAGCGCAGTGACTCCCTGCAAGCACAGTGTGTGCGGAGGGCAGAGCCAGGCTCCACAGGCCCAGACTGAGTGTCCCCTGTCCCTCCCTAGTGTTGCCCGCCCAGCCAAGCTGGGAATCCCACAGAGCAGTGGTCTCAGACACTTGCCTTTCCTGTGTGCTTTGGTCACTAGCAGCTTCTATGTTGACCCCTCCTTCAGCCAGTGTCCTGCTGTCGTCCCCAAGTCAAATGTGTCATGGGGTGGGGGTGCCGGGGCCAGCATTTCCACGTGAGTCTCATTTTGAGCAGGGGTGTTGGGAATTGCTGCAGGCCCGCAAGCCCCTCACAGCTGGACAGACTGATGGCTAGAAGCTTTGCAAGGGGCTGCAGGCCAGGACCCATCAGGGGTGGAGGCTGAAGGGGGTGATTGTGTCACCTGCAGCTTTCCCTTCCTTCCTGTCCCCAGACAGTCTCTTCCCTCCGGCCTCAGCCCAGACCCTTCCCTTTTTCCAGTTGCAGCCGAGGTACCCCTTTCCCCATCTCTTCCTACTTTGCTACCATCTTTTCCCTATTGGTGGAGGAAAGTGCTGTCACTAAGGAGTGTGCCTACATTGCCGTGGCGATCACAGGGACATCACAGGCTGCAGTCGTGGAGCACAAGAGGGGTTGGGACTCTGTACCTGTGGAGGGGACTGGTCAAGATGTACACTGGGTCTCAGTGGCCCTCAGGCCTCTCTGCTCACCAGCCAAGTTCAGGCAGCAGGGCTGCAGTGGCTGCGATGTTTAAGGAATGACCTCTCCCTTCCCATTTGTAGACACACAAGAATGTCTTATCCATTGTCTGTTGCTATAACAAAATACTGAAGACAAGGAGATTTATAAAGAACAAAAGTTTATTCGGTCCATGGAGGCTAGGAAGTCCAGAGCCATTGAAGGAACTGGCTAATTCCTGTAGGGAACCAGTCAGGAAAGGCAGACGGCACTGGGCAGGGGTCATGAGAGGATGAAGGAGGAGCCTTCAGGTGCCTGGACCCCATGCTTAGGGCTGTCCTCTCTTCGCAGGCCACCGCCTTAGCAGAAGTGATCTGCCTGGCTGCGTTCTCTGCGAGGCTGGTGCACTTTGCGAAAGTCACTGCTCAAATGGTTTTTTGGAAGGATACGAAGAACATCTGCATCATGGTAACCATCGTGGTGAGTGTGCATTGCCATGCCGGGGGCCTTGGTGACCAAAGGCGGGAACCAGCGTGAGAGAAAGAATGGACAGGTTTGTGCGTGTTAAAGTGACACCAAACCCCGGAGGTTGGCTGTAGCTGCAAGCAGACCTCAAGCCCAGGGATAAATATGACCAAAAGTGACAGTGGATATTTTAACACTGCTAAACTAGAGAACAAGACAAGACAGATGCTCCGATAGAAAAATGAGCTGAGAAATGGGAAGCCAACTCGTAAAACAGAGACGCATGAAACAGCTGACATGAAAGATGTTGAACCAAACTAGTTAAACAAGATGGATCAAAATGCTACAATACCACGTATTTGCTTATAAGAAAATGTGAGCAAGATTGAGAGAAAACAAACCTTGTACTTTATTGGAAAGAGAAATAACTTTCTGGAAAGCTGCTTGGCAGTATTTTTCCTTTCCTCTCTCCCCCTTCCGTCCTTCTGTCTGTCCATCCATAGTGCTAGGGATTGAACCCAGGACCTGAATTACAGCCTCAGCCCTTTTCTGTTTTTATGTTTTAGACAGACTTGCTAGGTCACAGCCTGGGCTTGAAGACTTGATCCTCCTGCCTCCGCTTCCCAGAAGCCTAGGATTATAGACTTGAACCACTGTGCGTGTTCTGGGGCCAGTTCCTCTCAAAAGCCTTACATATGCATAACTTGCACTCTGGGTTTCCGTTCCTGGGAGTTTATTTTTTTGAGGATGGAAGCATTTAAAGATTTAGCCACAAAGCTGGTCATAGGTAAGCTGTACATAATATTGAGAAATTGGAAACAACTCAATTCCCTGATCATAGATACAACAGGAACATGTGAAATAAAGTGTGAGCCGTCCACTCAGTCCTTTAAAATGGTGCTAAGGGCACGTATATGTCTATAATCAAGAAGAGATGATTATCAGCAATTAAGTCACAAAAGCAGTGACCAGCATAGTTGGATCACATTTTGGTTAAAAAGAAACAGTGGCCCGGGGGTGCAGCTCAGGGGTGGAGCCCTTGCTTCCCTGGCAGGCATGGGACCCTGGGTTTGATCTGCAGCACTGCAAATGACAATGACAAAACAGAGAAAAGAAAGGATGTCATACATACAGTGGTACCTGGTTTACAATCTTAGTTCTTTCCGTGACTCTGGTTGCAAACCGAATTGTCATGAACCAGATCAAATTTCCTCATAAAGTCAACCTTGAACCTAACCATTGAATTCGATTTGGTATCTGTAGCAAAATCTAAAGGGATACAGCGTGTGCCAAGAAGGGGATGCGTCCCAAATCGCTCACGCAGTGAGCACAGAGGCCTGCGGGTGGCAGGTGAGGGGTCTGTATTGCCACACCAGCCCGCCTCAGAATCACGCCTCTGCTCTTCCACGCAGTCCTCTCTGAAGAGCCCGGTCCATCGCAGGCCTTCCACGAACACTCTTGGAGGTGGTGGTCCTCATGTTGCCTCTGGGATCGGCTGCCCAGTGAGGTCCTGTGCTCTGCGGACACCACTTGCTGGTCCCTCCACATTGGCGTTTCAAGAGAGCAAACCCACTCTCTTCTTCCCAGACAGTCCCTGGCGTTCCCTGCTCCCACATGAGACCTTCAGAGCCTCCTTGTCCTGGTTCCCTCCCTTCCCCCCTATGGCGCTTCCAGCTCCACTCAGGATGCCTCCTCTGCTTCCTGCTCATCTGCTCTGGGCTCTGCTCAGGGCTCTCGTGGTCTCTCAGCTGCACATCGGTTCTCTTGTCATCTCATGGTCCTTGTCACCCTTTCCTACCTCAGTCACTCCAGCCGCAAATCACCTATATATATATATATATATATGCGTTTTAGATTAATTCTTCAGACAGACTTTAGAACCTGTCCCATCCCTTGCTCAAACATCTGTGAGCTCCTCAGGCTGAGACAGTGATGCCACAGATCTCTGCACACTCGTCTGCCCTGCTGTGCTTCACACCAGCCTGCTGGGCTGCCTGCATTCCTCGGCGTGAGGTCCACCATTTGCCTGCAGTGTCCTCTGTGGCACTTGTCCTCCCTCTGCAGATTTGCTCTCACTTCCCTTCTGCACGGGCAGAGCCCTCAGAATATGCAGGGTGGCTGCTTTTTCCTGATTTCTAGAAATATCTATGTTTGCCATTGCTAAAACACACGTGGTCTGGGATGGCACCCGTGACTGTGAGCTTGGGTTACATCCCCAAAGGATTGTACAAGAAAACTGTAAAAAACAAAACAAAACAAATCAACAAAACCCCCCACAAAAACAAAAAGTGTGTGCATCAAGTTGTTTTTGGGAAAAAAAAGAAAAACCCCCAAAACCTTGAGTCTGTCAGATAGAAAAAGAACGACCTTTCCCCTCGGTGCCCCTGCAGCCTGCTGCAAAGCAGGAGGCTGGGCACTCTGAGGTTGCTGCCTCTGTCTCCTGAGCCTTCTGGCCCATGGGGAGCATGCACCTTAAAAACCTAAATCAGTGCACACAAGCCTGGCTGCAGATCACCCGGCTTTCCATCCATGGAGAGAAAGCTGAAGCGCTCACAAGGCTGTGAGTCTCCTCCCACTCTCCTGCCGGTCCCTCCCTGGCTTCAGTCCTGCAAGTCCTGGAGTCCTCCCTCTGGCCCCACACTGCTGCCCCACCTCGGTGAAGTGTAGTCTGATGCTGTGACGCCTGCACAGCCCGACCCTCGGCTGTGTCTTCTCCAGAGCGTGCCCTCTCAGGGACACAGAAGACGTCTGCAGTTGGTCCCCCTGAGCACCTTCTTCCCTGGAGAGCCAGAGCATGCATAGACCTGCAGAGTGGCCTCACTCCTTCCACCTGGCATCCTTATGAGGAAGACATCTAGGGTTCCCCAAACGGAAATAGGGCTTGTCTTTCCAGCCTGGCCCTGTCTCTGGTCCTTGTCACTTCTGCCGTGTCCCTCTGCCTCAGCTCCCAGGCTCCTCTGCTTTTCAAACTTGCCAGCACGGCCCCCACTCTGCCCCACCCTGTATTACTGTCTTGCAGCCCTGGCACCTGCCCTTTCTGAGTTTTATCTTTTCAAAGCTCTGTGCTGTAAATCTCATCAAGTAGCTCCTCCTCCACGAAGCTTGCCAGGTGTCATAGCCCAGTGACCTGCCCAGTGCTGCTCCCAGAGGCAGCCACACCAGCATCTTCTGCCTGCTGCCCAGAGTTTTTGTGCTGTTTCTCTCTCCCGCAAGGCAGGTGATCCTTGCAGGCTCTCCCCAGATCTTCTGTGTGTTACCACCAAAAGGCTAAATCCAGCTTGTTTCATGATGGTAGATTACGCTTTCTTACCTAAAGATTTCCAAGGTCCACTAGGCTGGTGGCAGGGGACCTGTAGCAGGCGAGCCACGGAGGACTGTTTGTTAACACTGAAAGCTCTGAAAGGTTCGCCATCACTGCTAGGCTTTTCTTTTGTGCCCACCCTCACATGAATCGTTTGCTTACAAACTTGACAGTAATAAAGATTCCTGGGTTCAGAAATGTAGCTCAGTGGTGCAGTGCCTGCCTGGCAAGCACAAGGCCCTGAGTTCGATTCCCGTAACTCCCACCTAGAATTTTTTGTATTCCAGGTATTTTTATTTCTGTTACTAAGCTAGTAGTTCTCTCTTTTACATATCAAAGGAAAGGAAAGTTCAGGAGGATGCAGCACAGCGTGGGTACGGGTAGCAATATGTTGAAGAGCAGGGGTGTGGGCGCCCGAGTTCTGGCTTCCTGTCCCAGTGCTTCCCCCATTCCAGCTATGATCAGAGGCCTTATGATTCCCTCCCTGTACTTCAAGTCCTTCCATCCAGGAACAGTTGTGTGTTAAAGCTAAAATGAAGCCACTGCAGAAGGTGCATACTATACTGTGTGACACCTAGTAGCACCCCGGATGCTAGCTGTGATGAATGTTATATTCCAAAAGTGGAATTGGGCTATTTCTGAAACTTGCTCTGATTCCATTGCTCGCCAGGTAAGTGCGCGTCATTGCTTCTCTGTCCCTTGGTCGGGTGGTTCTGATGTCTGTCTCCGCTGTCTCCTGCAGGTGACCTTGATTGACCTCATTGTCTATGGGTCCCTGGAGGCCTTTCACGTCCACAGCGTGCGATGGACAAGGGCCCTGAGGCCGGTCTTCCTCATTAACTTCCCTGAAAGTCGCCAGGTGAGAAGGTGATTTAGGATGCAGGACGATTTGGTCTTTTAGTTTTTACAGGAAAATAGCTGATTTCTCATAAGCCAGGTGACATTTTGTCTCCCCAGATCCGCAGGGCTTTCCGGAGCCTCCGGAACACCCTGCCCGACATCCTATACGTCTTTCTCCTGTTCCTGTTCAGCGTGCTAATGTTCTCCCTGATGGCTTTGAAACTTTTTGGGGATAGGTGAGCCCACTTCCCTGCCAGATTCTGCCTGGGAATCTTCCATATCTGGGTTAACCCACACCTGTAGAATGGGTCACCAGGCACTGCCTTCCTCGTTCCATATTCTCATTGGGAGAAGGCAGAAGTGTATCAGAATAAGCATTTGACTTGGGCGCGTGGTTTTTGCTTTCTGTCTGGTTCCTGTTTAGGGGGCTGAAAACAGCTGAAGGAGCTCCTTACTTCACGAATATTCTGGAAATAGCGTTTGAGCTCTATGTGCTGGTCACTACAGCCAACAATCCCGACGTCATGTATGTGCCCCTAATCCATGTCCAGGGATCTTTGGGACTGTAACAGAATTCACATTATTAAAAGGCGCTGTGGGGGTGGGTGTGTCACATGCAAGAGGCCTTGGGGTTCCATCCCCAACACGACAAAAACAGGACAGAACAAAGCCAGACCAAAAAGCAGCGGGTCTCTGACACTAACCGGGATGAGAGAGGGAAACATGGAATTTTCTGTTTAGTTGCATACGTTGTAAAAATACTGAAAAATATAAAATTCTATTCAAATGATAGCCTATCCTATGTAAAGCTACGCTTAGTTGAATTCTTTGAGAATTGAAAGCGGTAGGAGACAGCTCTTGACATTCAGCTCACAGAGAGTGGAGGCATTTTGGACACTGGCAGCTCTGTAAGAAATTTCAGAAAGGGTTTGGAGTGAGCTGTTCGGCCACAGGGATGGTGATGGTGCCACACGGGACAGTGGGAGTGAGATCTGAGGTGCAGCCTGCACAGTCATTGGACTTGAGGGTGCGGCACCTGCTCACCCTTACGTGTTCTGTGGAACGAGGGCAAGAAAAATCTTAACACACACTCATCTCCTCCCAGGATGCCTGCCTATAACTTCAACTGGTGGTATTCCCTGTATTTCATAACCTACATCATCATCAATACCTACATCTTCATGTCTGTCTTTCTGGCTGTGGTGTACAACAACTACAGGAAGCACTTAAAGGTAACAGGCGTGGCTCAGGGGCAGGGTGGGCGACAGCGTCTGGGCTGGGCACAGTGGCGGGGCCAGGCAGGTGCAGGCACTGACTGTGTGCACGTGTCCTCCACGGCTTTTGTGGGGGGACCAGGAGGCTTGTTTGGCATCCTGCTCCTTTTTGCTAAGCAGGGTGTTCCTCTGCCAGTCTTCCGACAAGACCCAAAGGACAAAGGATACAGCCACTTGTGTTCTGCAAAATCCTTGGCGTTTTACTGTTCTTAATGCATCTGATGGTTCTAGGATGTTTACAATGTTTTGTATGGGGCTGGGAGTTATTCGCCAGGCCTCCAAGTCCTTTCCTCACTAGGAGCAGGGAGAAGGCTGGTGAGAACTACAGTGTTTGTGATTAAGGGGAAGCAGGTGGTGGAATGGACTCTCAGATCTGGCCACTCTGGTCTTCAGAGGAGCCTGGTTCTGTGCAGGTTCTTTGGATGTGAACCTGAGGCCAGGCCTCCTCTGGCCTCTTCTTCCCTGACAGGAGAGGCCATTCCCACGGGTCTGGTGCACCTCTTCTCTCTGTCACTGCTGGACAGAACTGTGGCTATGCCTCCCCTTGCAAAGCAAGTGTATTTTTGAGTGACACCCTAGAAAATTAGTCCTCTGCAACATACATCATCTGGAAAACATGTACTTTATGTGTCCAGCAACTTCCTTGTTCTCCAGAGTCAACAGTGATTAATACCTGGTCCTTGCCCCCCCCTTTGTGTGTGTGTGTGTGTGTGTGTGTGTGTGTGTGTGTGTGTTTGAGACAGTCTCACTATGCAGTTTAGGCTGGCTTGAGCTCACTGTGTAGCCCAGGCTGGTCTTGAACTTGCAGCAGTCCTCCTGCCTCAGCCTCCTGAGTGCTGGGATTACAGGCAAGCACCACCACGCCCAGCTAGCCCTTGCTCTTTAAGAATGGGCAGTCTAGCTGTGCAGTCTGTCAGCAGGTGATCATACTGGGTGACAGACTTCCATGGAGTAGTGGGAGTGGGCCTGGAGGCTGCACAGCTGGGTCCAGCCTGAGGAAGGCTGTTGAGTTCCCATGTACTGGACGATTCCTTGTGGTCAGGCCAGATGGCAGCTGTCCTTCTGCCTGGGGCTGCTTTTAGCCTTGTTTCACTTCCCTGACTTTGTCCTTCCTCCTCTTCCCCTCCTTCTGTCCTGACTTAATGATCCCTCCCCTACCCCCATCTCTGTCTTTCTTCTTAGCCGCACACCCAATCTCCTTTCTTTCTGGAATCTCCTCCCTTCTGGGCAGAGTGGAGTCTGCAGCTGTCTGCTTCCTGTCTCTCTGCTTCTTGCCACACAGATTTTCCTTCAAGGGCTCCTCATTGCAACTTGGTAGGACAAGTGTTGTGGGCACAGACCTGGAGCGGGGAGGGATCATACCCCTGGCTTATTGGAAGACCCTTCAGTGACTTCTCCTGGGCTCCTCTATGACTCTGAAATACTTGGGACTGGAAGAAATGGCTCGTCCTTGCATCTCTCTCTTAAAACATCCAACTGTGTTTTGTTGTTTTGAAGAATGAGATTCGCAAACTGGCATACTTGAAACGTCACAAAATGATAGAGGCGTTTGACATTCTGAAAGTCAAGGTGGGCACTGAGTTTGTGGTAAAGGAGGCCACGTGGAAGCAGCTGGCCAAGGCGGTGGCACCAGACATCAGCAGCTCCCACCTGGAGCTCCTGCTGAGGATCTCCGACGAGGGACAGCAGGGGTTTGTGGGTAAGAAGCTCTCCTGGTGTCACCCTCCGAGTCCAAGGACGCTCCAGTCCCTTATATGAATGGCTCAGTGTTTCTGTACAGCTCACACATATCCTCCCGTCGTCTCTGGATTACTTATAAAACTTGGTGTAATATAAATGCTGTAGTCATTAGAGTACAGCGTAAGGGAGTAAAGGCAAGAAGAAAAGATCTGAACGTGGTCAGTGCAGAAGCGCTCCCCACCATCCCATGTTTTTGGTCCATGGTGGGTTGAATGTACGGATGTGGAACTTATAGAAAATGAGGGCTGACTGTATTTAAAAAAATTTTTTTAGGGCTGGGGATTTAGCACAGTGGCATAGTGTCTGCCTGGCAGGCACAAGGTCCTGAGTTTGATTCCCAGTACCAAAATAATAATAATAATAATAATAATAATAACAATAATAAAATTGCTTAGATTAGCAAACACAGCCCAGGTCCCCTGAACTCTAATTGCAAGCTCATGGGTGGAATCATCTGAGTTGCAATCTGTTTGTAAAGTAAATGAGGTCAATACTCATCTAGTTTGAGATAGAAATTCATCCACCATGGCTTATTGTACAGGCCCATTGATGTGGCAGGAAGAAAGCCCAGCACCTGGCTTATCAGACTTCTTCAGCCATTTTACCTTTAGAAAACAGCAGTGTCCCTTTATGGACCATTTCCGGGGCAAACCTTTGTTTTTAAGGAAAGAAAGCCATCAGATTGGTCGATTTGGGGAAGGAATGTTCTGTTTCCCAGGGGAATAGTGATGCTTTCTGGTGGGTCTTATCCCAGGAGACTGTTTGGCTAAGAAACACTTCCAAAGACAGTTTGAATGACAGTAAGCTGAACACGTCACACAGCGGTCTCATCTCTGTGCAGGCAGGGGACAGCGGTCCATCTGTGAAACTGCTCACATCCCCTGTGCCAGGTGTGAAGACAGGTGGATTCCAGGGCCCCACAGTGGAATTCTGTCTGTCCTCTGAGTGCTGAAACATAAATCTAGTGATAACGCAGAAGCATAGAACTCAGAGGAGTAGAAACACAGTTGACACAAACATTACACGAGCATTACTTTTTCCTTAGTGGTGGTGGTTGTTTTTTGGTGGTTTCAAATCCTTAAAAAAATTCTTTATTACATGATAATAGTCACAGAAAACATAAAGATTATATACACATCTGGGGTGACCCATAATGTTTTAATACATGCATACATTGCATGATTTGTAATTTTTTTTAACAGAAATGATGAGGAAAATAATTTGTCATCTGTGGCAAGGGGAGGTTGACTGCAGTCCCTGGGTCCGATGTGGCTCATGGTCTGTTTTCCTAAACTGAGTTTTCCTGCAACACAGTGACACTCACTGTGTGCTCTCTGTGCTGCTTCCATGCGTGATGGCAGAATCCAGCAGTTTCCTACGGGACCTGCACAGCCTGACATACTGAATCTTTTTCTTTTTAATTTTATTTAAAGAGAAAAAGAAAAAAAAACAGAAGAAGGGTATAAGCTATACAAAATTTCAAAAAAAAAATAAACTAGGAAATCACTAGTTAATAGATTACATATTTTCACCTTAGAAATCGTTATTCAAGTTACAAAATTAAAGCATATAAAATGGACATTCAAACAGTGAGACTGCAAACAGTTCTATTCAATGATCCAACAAAAACTCAGTAATATGATTTATCTATCTTATATACTTAAATATACATGCAGTTATATCCTTTAGAGCACTTTCTTTTCCTCTCTTTTTTACAATGACAATTACACATTTTGGGTTTTATTACTCCCATGGCTCTTATTACTTTTTTTTTTGAAGAGAATAAAACCAAATGTGACATAACAAAACAGAGTCAGTCAAATCAAAAGGATGGACATAGTACATAATGTAAAAACAGAATACAAGGTGATCAATAATGGTTACCATAATGCCTCTTGCTATCTTAAAAAGAATTGCCTATATCATCAGTTATAATAAAATTGAACAAAACAGTAAAGAACAAAACTAATAAAACCAAAACATTGGAGACATTACAGGACTTCAAAAGAAGATAATAGTCAAACCAGAATGGGCATCATAGTGAATCTTATTGTCTTTACAGTTGTTGCCTGTACTCTTAAACTTGGTACTATCAAGCATAACAGAATAGAGTAAAATCAGTCACAACAAGATGGTGAGAGCAATACAGGGTTTCAAATCAAGTTAATAGAAAAACAAAGTGGGTTACTATAACATATCCTGGTATTTTTAAATTTATTGTTCCCTTAATTAAAAAGATAAAAATAAAAAAATAAATAATAAAATAGGAGATTGAGATAAAAGAGGACATAACAACAAAACAGCACAGGTCAGAACATAACCATTTAAGCAAAATAGTGTTTCACCACAAGATATCCCAACATAAAAGTAGTTACCATAGTGTCTCTTTCTTTGAAATCTTTGAGTATAACTTCATATACTGTAGCATCAAACATATCAAGACAATGTAAAAACCATTCAAGAGAATGACAGTATTACAGGGTATTTAGAACCAACTGACAGAAAATAAACAATGGTTTCTGTATTATTTCCTTGTCTATAAAAGTTTTTGTTTATATTATCACATAGAATAAAATCCAATAAGATACAACATGTTAAGGCTGATGGAGACATAAGAACAAAAGCTTGATGGGACTTCAAAACAAGATGATATTAAATCAGCACTAGCTATTATAATGTCTTGTTTTCTCCCAAATAGCTGTTCATACCATCCAACCTTCTCTGCCTCATTTCTGTTGAGCTCTTTTTCTGCCATTAGTTGTCAGTTTGTCTTCTTCATTTCGCTTCTGCTCCATTCATTGTGGCCTCTCTGCCACTGTTTCTGGAATCTTGGTATTTTTCTCTTTTATAATGTCCTGCAGTATTCTCTGTAGAGTTGAATTGGTGGTTGCAAATTCCCCTGGTTCCTCTTTATCCTGGAAGCACTTTGTTTCTCCATCAATTTCTAGGGACAGTTGTGCAGGATATATCAATCTTGGCTGGAAGTTATTGTCTTTCAAAGCTTGAATTATTTCTCCCCATGCTCTTTGTGATTTGATGGTTTGTGCTGAGAAGTCTGGTGTAATTCTGATGGGTGTTCCCTTGTAAGTGATCTGTTTCTTTCCTCTGACAGCTTTTTAATATTCTGTTCTTATATTGGATTTCTGGAATTTTGATTATTATATGCCTGGGTGTAGTTCTGTTAGTGTTGTAGGTGGCTGGGGTCCTGTATGCCTCATAGATCTGAGCATCTTTACTTTTTCACATATTAGGGAAGTTCTCCTTGATTATTTCTGTGAATAGCCTTTACAGTTCATTTGTTTGTATCCCTGCTTCTTCCTTTACATTCTTAATTCTTAAGTTATAGATCCTCATCATCTTCTAGCCTTTGTATTGTTATTGTTTGTTTCCTTGTTATTTTTAAGAAGTTTTTCCTTTCATGCTTCCACATTTCAAATCTGTCCTCCAGTTTAGATAATCTATCTGTAGTTTCTTTCAAGTTGTTATGCCAGCTTTCAATAGAGTTTTTAGTTTCCTGGTAATCTCTTTGAACCTGCTTCATGTATTCTATGTTTTCTCTATTTTCTCCATCAAACAATTCTCCCCTTTTTTTCTGTTCTTCCGTTCCACCATCTGTTTTTTCTTGGGAGGTGCTTAGCATTTCTTTAACTATTCTACTTATATCTTGCTTTTCTTGGTTAAATACTTCACTTTTGAACTCGTCTATGAGGTCCCAAAGATATCGCTTTATGTCTATTGGTGCCGTGCCCGATATTGCATGTTTTCTGTCTTCATTCTCCTTTGCATTTACCTTTCCTGGATCAGTGTTCTCAGGATTGGGGACTGAGGACCCTTTCTTTTCGCTCCCTCTTCCCATACTTTTTGTTCCTTCCATACAATCGTATATAGGAGGCCCAGTTTCTTTCTTTGTCGGCTACAGTTTGTTTGAATTGTGCCGGCTAGGTGTTCCCGCCCACTGCAGTGTACTAGGGAGACACAGACCTGGGCAGCCTATGCTGGGCCTGCTCCTCCAGGTCAGTCAACCTGCTGAAGGCTTCACTGAATTAGGGTGCACTGCCAGGCACAGGGACCTGGTTTGGGCTAGCCTACTGGGTCTGCGGTGTCACCCAGGTCAAATGCTCCCCACCAATCCCGCTTGAGAGGGTAATATGTGACTGAAGTTACTGCAGCGTCCTGTTCTGGCTAGTCTTCCTGGTCCCAGAATGTCCTCTGTTGGAGCTTCCTACTCTATGGAAGGGTCCCTGTTCCTCTCACTGCAGGTCGATGCAGGGCTCCCTGCCAGCTCTGCTCTCAATTCAGTTCACCGATTCCCACTTTCAGAGCTTTCGCGTCTCTATCCCTGCTATGCCGATTCAGATGCAGCATTGGTGGCAGGAAATTCAAGCTGCAGCTTCCAGAGGCGTGGTTTCCATCTTTGGCACTGAGACTGTAGCTGTTCCAGTCATAGGACAGGGACTGCATTTCCAGTTGGTATCTCTCAGCTTAGTTTGTTCCTGGGTTGGCAGGGTATATCTCCCCCTGCTTGGGACTCCCCACACTGCACCATTCCTGGATTCTAAGCTGGCTATCTTAGAGAGCCTCTGCAGCTGCTGTTATCAATCTGCTATGTTCTCCTGGAAGTCCTGACGTACTGAATCTTGAGCTTTCCCTCAAAGAGCTCACTGATGCCCAAGCTATGACACAAAGCAGAGGGTGGGCACAGAGTCCTTCTTCACACGGATCTACTATGGTCTTGATTTCCTTTGGTCTTTCCTGTTCTAGTGAATGTTCTGAGTGTAAAGTTGTGAATCCAGGGAGACTTGGATTCTCTTGAGGTTATTTAATGGCTGAGGATGTTGGCTGGCTTCCTGGTGGTGACCCTCAGCACACTCGGTGTGAGGTCACCCTGAACCTAGATGTTTATGGTTGTCATCACAATGTTTCCATAGCTTCCATTTTGAAGCTCGTGTGACCCGGGTCCCTGGATGTTACTGTGCATGTCACCTGATTCTCCGGAGCTGTCCTTCTACCCAAGGGGGTTTCATGTTTGGCTATTAAGATGTGTAGATGTGTTTTTTTCTGAACTCTAAAGACCTGGAACCTCAACAATTTCTAATATATGTAAGTGTGTTTTTCACCCAACTTGATGGATTCATTGTCTCTCTCATATTCCTGGAACTGTATGGCAGCCTGAGTGTTCCATGTCACTCACGACCTTGTCTGGGTCAGGCCACACTCTGACAAGGCCAGGGCCTTGCCTTGCTGGGTGTCTGTTGCTGGCAGGTCTTCAACTTCTTTCTTGCATAAACCACAGCATAAACCAAAGTTGCCCCTTGCCCACCCACAGATCTTTGCTTATTTCTCATAGTGGAAGTGGAAGCCTGGGAAGCTTCTATGCACTCTCAGTGACAAGCTTTCTCCATGTTCAAAACCTCTGCCTAGTCTTTCACAGTTGTCCTGATTGGCACCAGGAATGGTATTATGGCAGTTTTCTTTAGAGTTTCAGAGGCATTCAATTAGCTTTCAAAGGAGTAGCAACAGGGTTTGTGCATTCTGATTTTGTTCGTTGATGTGATATTTCTTTAATAATATGTTGTTACAGTTCACACACAGCTAGTTTGGGAGCTGGCCCCATTCCCTAGCTGGTAGGACAGCCCCCTGGGGTGGCTGGGAATAGTCTGCTAGTCCTGGGGAATTCAGCAGGTTCTGCGGTTGAGTGAGGCCTGGTGACTCAGGAAAGCACCCATTGTACTTGGGCTTAGGTGGTGAGGGAGCTCCTGTGGATGCCATGAGGTTAAGAGTCCCTGGGAAGGGTACAGGGAAGGGGGGTGGGTGGAGCAGGAGGTAGCAGCTCAATCCAAAGGGTATAGACTTCTTGTCTGAAGGCTTTGTAGAGAAGAAGGGAAAGCGAGCAGAGGCTGAAAAGCTGGTTGGACCACGGGAAGATCACAGAGCAGAGGGCACGAATGAGTCGGTGGCTTGTATAAATCTGCAGAATCCCATAGTGCTGCCTTGCATTGAGGGTCAGAACAAGGGCAAGTGGGGGGTCTGGGGATCACCTGGCTCTGCCCTCTTTGGCTCCTTGGCCTTGGGCCTTCACTCTCTGGGGCAGAGGGTTTCAGTTTTTTGACTGTAAAAAGCACAGCTGAGTCCTCACTGACTTGGCTCTATCCTCTAGACCTTAGTGTCACCACGGCCGTGGGTGGTGGGGTCATTTTCTCATTGCAGACAAAACGAACTTTCTCCGCCTGGCTGACCTCCTCAACATCCAGGTGGTCACCGTCAACCTCAGGAGGCACCCACTGGAAGCGTGGGTGCCTCAGGTCTACCAGTGTTCCCTGAGCCTCTTGGTCCAGAGAGTGGTTCGGCACAGGCAAGTGAGCCAGGTGGGCTGGTTCCTCCCCAGCAGCTCTACAAGAAGACTCTGTTCTGTCATCTGGACTGAGCATGTCTCACCCACACTCTGCTTACTGCTTGCTAAGGGAGGCTGGGAAGGGTTCCAGGCACACTGTGTTTGGCCTCAGCTACAACACCAGGCTTCTGGGTTATGCTTCCTTCTGGGACATTTCCTTAGATGCTTGAGGACCACAGACTACATGTAGTCTCTGAGCCAGGGAAGCTGACCGTGCTGAATTTAGGAGATTCTAGCCTCTCCAGAATAAATATGAAATTGGTATCAAACATGGCATTTTGGTTTTGAGAAGCATATGATCAGAATTCATGAGTTAGCTTTGCTGGAAAGATTGTTAAGGAACTTACTCATCTTTTACTTTCAGACAGGCAGACACTTCTGAGAAAAGCCATTTATCCATTTATCTTTTTAATATGTGGTCCTGCATTGTCCATCAGTTGAGGCTCATTCCAGCCACAGTGGCCTTTTTCTTCTTTCTTCCTCTTCCTCTTCTTCTTCTTCTTCTTCCTCTTCTTCTTCTTCTTCTTCTTCTTCTTCTTCTTCTTCTTCTTCTTCTTCTTCTTCTTCTTCTTCTTCTTCTTTCTTCTTCTTCTTCTTCTTCTTCTTCTTCTTCTTCTTCTTCTTCTTCTTCTTCTCCTCCTCCTCCTCCTCCTCCTCCTCCTCCTCCTCCTCCTCCTCCTCCTCCTCCTCCTCCTCCTCCTCCTCCTCCTCCTTCTTCTTCTTCTTCTTCTTCTTCTTCTTCGCATTTAATGTTTCAAAAAAGTGAACAGGGCTGGGAATGGTGGTGCCTGCCTATAATCCCAGCACTCTGGAGGCTGAGACAGGAGGATTGCTGTGAGTTCAAGGCCAACCTGGGCTACATAGTGAGTTCCAGGCTAGACTTCATAGTGAGACTGTCAAACACTAAAAACAACAGTTACAAAAGTGAACAGTTCAGAAGCCCCTGAGGCAGGTAAATATACTCTTTAGCTGCCTGTATGTGTTGTTTACCCACCTTTATGCAGAGGAGCCTTTCTGTTAATCCCAGTGTTGAGCTACTGCTGCGCTTCATGCAGGGAAGTTGCTGTGCCTGTGTCTCCCCAGGGTGCTGGGTCCTGGGTCCTGGGTGCTGGGTCCTGGGTCTGCAGCCACACAGTGAGCCCAGAATGGTGCCTCTTCTGCCTTCCTGGCAGGGATCCCTGAAGCACATGAGCCTCCTTGGAGAGCCTGACCTAGGACTGTAGTCAGATAGGGACCCAGCTATCATGTTTTGTTTTCCCATGTCCTCTCCCAGCTTGGGGAGGAAGATGGACAGCCCAGTCCCTTGGGAGGCTGGTGTGGGTGAGGGGTGAAGGGGCTTTCAGAAGCTTTCTTAGTGGAGGATGCGCATTTTCCGGGGACCATCCCATGTTGATCCCTGATTGTCTCCCTTGTCCTGATTCTTTCTAAGCTTTCACCTGATCAGGTACTGACCCCAAGGGGGACCTGGGGAGACAACTCTTCTCTCCTTTCCCCTCACTCTGTCCTCCTTTTCTCTAGGAGAGAAAGGGCTGCACCAAAGGTTGTGGCAGGCAAGTGAATTTCAAGGCTTAGCTGTGCTGAAACTTTCACAGATGAGGACTGTGTGTGTGTGTGTGTGTGTGTGTGTGTCTGTATTCATGTGTGTGTGCATGCATGCATGCATGTGCTTGGAGGATTCTGTACTCATGATATTGTCAGCAAATAAACTGGCCCTGGTGGGCCTTAAGCAGACGTGTGCCTTTTACTGAAACATGCGGTGACAGGATTGCTTTTATTTCCTTCCCTGCCAGGGCTTTTGTCTGGGCGTATGATGTCATCATCCTGATCAATGCCATATTCATTGCTCTGGATGAGAAACACCCCTTCATTTCCTATGCTGAGTGGCTCTTCCTGGCTCTCTACATTGTTGAGATCCTCCTGAAACTTTACACGTACGAACCCAGAGCCTATTTTGGAAGGAAGCAGTTCTGGAACTGGTAAGTAGTGTCCTGGGGAGAAGAGAGCTGGCCAAAGAGCCCGAGAGAGGACTTCTATCCCAGCTGTAGGTATATGGTGGCAGTCTTCAAGTTCCATCTGCCTGGTTTTGAGACATCTTATAATGAGATCGTGGGGACAAGGAACATCTGGTTCAGTGAAAGCTGTTATTCATGATGTAAACCAGGACTAACTGTAGCTAAAATTAGAATCACAGACCAGGGCTCTTTGACTTGGTAAGATCTTTAAAAAGAGGAAGACAAATCAGGCATGGGTTCCCACTCCTGTAATCCCAGCACTCTGGGAGGGTGAGGCTCCAGGAGGAGCACAAATTAGAGTCCAATCTGGGCAAATTAGTTAGTTAGTGGGACCTTGTCTCAAAATAAAATATAAAAGAGCTTGAGATGCAGCTCAGGACAAAGGCCTTGTGTTCAGCCACCAGTAGCAAAAAACAAAGCAAAACAAAACACCAGGAAAACAGGCAAATGCAGTGACAATACTGATAATCCCAGCGCTGTGGGAGGCTAAGGCAGAATGAGCACATGGGCAACTAGGCAAAACCCTGTCTCCAAATAAAATATCAGGCAAAACCCTGTTGTCTCCAAATAAAATATCAAAAAAAAAAAAAAGAGGCTGGGGATAGAGCTCAGTGCAAAGGCCCTGGGTCCAATCCCCCAACACCAAAGCAAACAAACACTAACAAAAGAATAATGAAACAAAAAACCAAGAAGGAAAAAAGAAAAAAAGACAGCAAATTGTTTTTCTCTACTCTTGTGATATTTCTGACACCCAATGTGTGAGATTTTTTTCCTTACACCAACCAATTGTCTAACTAGATGATCTACAATTTGATTCAATTCTGACACTGTCTACCTAGAGCCAGTGTCAAAATTACAAGGATTTTGAGAGTTCTAGTTATGAGCTCCAAGTCAAAAATAAAAACCAAAGATGTATTTCTCTTGGCACAGTCTTAGAATAGTCCGCTGAAGGGGGCAGTGTCTTCCATAGCCTCCCCAACCCCTCCCTGCTCTCCTGGTCAGAATCTTCAGCCACAAAGGTACGAGTCACAGCCTTCAATGCTGCACAGCCTGTGAGGGCTGGCTCTCTGGTATCACCACCCTACAAGCCAGGACACTTGTTGCAAAGTGCATGTGGCCAAAGAGGAACTGGTCAGTACCGTCCACTATTTTCTTGTTCTTTGGCAGCACTTTTAGAGTGAAAAGTCATGACATGATGAATTTCATCTTTAAAAAATTACATTGCATTTAATAAAATCACAATGCATTTAATAAAATTAGTACCATGGTGTATTCTGAAAATGGACCCAGGTATCCTTACAAGTGCAGACTTATTGTGGAGACAGTGATGTGAATTAGCTGATTCCTACAAATTCCTTAGGGCGATCCTTTGGAACAGTCAGTGAGTGGAAATTGGGTTGTCCAAACATAATGTTTTGTTCTCATAATCACTGTTCAAGAAATTTCAGAAATCCACTTTTGGTTGGATCATTGCTTTGCAGAAGATATCAGATACAGAGCTTCCCTGGAGCCCACCCTACCCTGGGCCTGACAGATCTTCCCTAGATTCCTAACTGACTTTGCTTTTGCTCCATTAGGTTTGACACACTGATCATCATTGCAGCTCTGGTGGCCACTGTGGCCAATGCCACCGTTCAGTCAGGTCAGTGCCACCAGCTCTTGGCTTCACCACTGGCCAGGATGGGGATCTGATCAGTGGTCTTGTTGAACATCCACCACTAACTAAGATTTAGAGGCCAGGGAGTGGGACCACCAGAGAATTGTTAAGTAAGTTCCAAGATCTTGAGAGGGATGGTGGCTTTACTTGTGTTTAGCAGTGAAGTATTTTAGAGATTTCATTTGTAGGAGGGTATGGCCCAGATACTCACCTGGTCATGTCTCCAAAACTGAGCCTCTGTCTCAGGGCTGACCATCTGCCTGCATTGGCCTTGCACCAGGTTCCAGTTGTAGCAGCAATTTTGCATCCTCCCTGCCCACAATCCTCTTGTCGGTACCGTCCCCTGGCCCTACCCTCCCCCAACCTACACCACAGCAGGTAGGGTTAGTGGACCTGGTGTAGCTTCTGCATATTATGACATGAATTCTGGGGAAATAAATTCCCCAGAATTCCATTGCAAATTCTGTTGCAATGCATTCTGTACCACTGAAACCACAGCCACTGCTTGAGGATCAAGTCCACACGTGGTTCTTCAGCTCTGGAGACTGGGATGGAGGGAAGGCTCGACTGACTTCCGCACTGCCTGGGTGGCCTCATGGGGGTGGTTTGGTATTCAAGACAGCACCTACTTCCTCATAGCTCAGAGACATGAAGCTGCCATTTCATTTTAATTTGGAGATCCAGCCAGCCCAGGGCCTTGTGCGTGCTAAGCACGTGCCTACCACACTGAGTTACATTCCCAGCCTCTGTTATTGAAATAAGGCTTCCTGGTTCCCCAGGATCTAGAGTCTCAGGTCTGAATAAAAGGGGCAAGTTAGAGATGCTGAGAAAATGTGGTATTAAAGGATTGTGTTCTTTCCCTAGCAAGAAAATACAACAGTCGGCAGATCCTGGATATTGTCTTGATCCTGAGGATACTCCGGCTTCTCAGGGTCATCATCAGCATTGAGAGGTACAGATGAAGTGAGGTGCACTTAGAGTAGAGCTTGCTGCTTCACGGTAGTGAAAGAGTTGGAAACAGAGCCCACCCAAGAGTCTGACCCCAAAGTCTGGATAAACCCCAGGCTTGGTTCTGAGAGTCTGGCTTCCTCCCTGCAGCTTACAGTCAGGCTTGCTTCGGATGGAGGAAAAAGGTGGGGGAGAAAAGCAGAGGCTGCTAAGCGGTCTCCAGCATCTCACTCGTGCAGCTTCTGGGAACTGTCTTTCTAGTGTCTGTCCAGCCTGCCTTGCTTCGCTTGCTGCTCAGCTGGGTGGTGGTGGGCTAACACTGACAAGCAAGCCCTCAGGCCAGCTCCTGCCAACATCTGAGCCCAGATGCAGTATTGGGAGAGGCTAGTAAACCTTCCATGCTAGCGGGGTTAGCTTAGCTCCCCGCCTTTCCCTCTGCCTTGTGTCAGAACCCGTTTCATCCTAGGTTCCGGGTGATAGTGACAACTTTGATTAACATCGGCCCCACGATGCTGACCTTTGGCGGGCTTGTCTTTGTAAGTAGCTGCTCTCCTATTTGATGTGAAATCAGTAGTGAGCGGCTTATTCTTAATTCTCAGTAAGCCTCCTTTTCTATTTTTATAAATGTTTTTGAACACAAAAAAGAACATCTAAAGTGTATTATATGCCTAAGGCATGGGAGTATTAGACTCCAGTAAGCTTTATTTAAAAAGAGGCCCTGGGGGAGGTCAGGAGTAGCCCAGGGGGCTGGGCCTTGGGTACTTAGCAGCAGCACTATCCTGCTTTCTTTCTGAAGCCACTTGGGACTCCTGGCTGGAGCTGGTTACCATTCCTGGGAATAAGGTGGTGCTCTTGCTGAACCCTCGGAACAGGGGAGGTGGCTGCCTTGGGGGAAATCTTCCTAGGTCTGCACTCTCCTTGTCTTGCTCTTTGGGTGCTCCTTGGTGACGGACTGGGTACCTGCCATCCTAGGTGGTCTACTACGCATTTGCTGTCATCGGGATGGAAATGTTCCATGGCAAAATCCAGTTCTTTGACCCAAATTCCACATCTCCTGATGCCCTGGTGTGTGGAAACCCGGCCCTAAAGGGATCAGCATTTGCCCGAGACAGGTACTGCAAGAACAACTTCAACGACCTGGCCTCATCCTTCGTGGTGCTGATGGAGCTCACAGTGGTGAACCAGTGGCATGATATCCTTCTGGGGAGGGGATGACCGAGGCCTGCCGCTGCTCCCTGGAGCTGGCCAGTGCCTGCCAGAGGTCACTTTTCGGAGGAGGAGGAGGCCTTGCCAACTTGCTGTGTTTCTCAAAGGTCTGGTTCCTTAGCCTGCCACTCCTTGCAGGGGGCTTTGCCCTTGTGACTCACCAGGCGGCAAAGCTGTACTTCATCCTGTTCCACATCGTGGTCGTCATTCTCATTGTGAAGTGAGTGACATCCTACCACCTGGGAAATCTGGGCTGTTTCTCAGAATGGCCAACCATGGACACCTCTGTCCTCCCTCGTCTCACCCTTGGGTGGGTCGTGTGTGTTTCCTTGCCCCACTGAAGGATGTGCCATGGACAGGAGGGGTCTCTTGTCCCCTGACACTTGCGTTGCTCTGGCTGGGTGTCTGCCAGTGTCTTGCACTTCAGTGCATAACGGAGCACATCTCAGGGTCTCAGAAGGAATCTGATGTCCTGGGTGATCCTCTTACCCTTTTCCCTGAGACTGAACCACCTTCAGCACATCAGCTACGCCACCTCTGCTTCAGCTCATCCAACTGTGGGGCCCACTGGCACCCAAGAGAGTCAGTTCCCTTGTTTTTCTGCACTGGTCCTTAACACTTCCATGGGTAGGATGGGAACTGTCCTTGGTGGGCCTTAGTAGGATGGGAACATGTCCCTAAGGAGTCCTAGTAGGATGGGAGTGTGTCCCTTTTTGGATCCTTGTAGGATGAGAATGGGTCCCTTGGTAGGTCCAGGTAGGGTGAGAACATTCCCAATGGGGAGTCCCAGTGGAATGGGAACACACCCTGGTAGGTGATAGTAGGCTAGGAATGTGCCTGGATCGGGGTGGGACCGGGACATGCTTCCTGGTAGATTCTCTTTATCACTTCCAGTCCTATTCTTGTCCTTTTCCAAGGGAGAGCTCAGTATTTGAAAGCTGCCATAACATTGCATCACTCAAAAGCTTTCTCCTTCCGGTGGGAATCTTTGACTCTAGCTCTTTGGTTCCTCTTGTGAGTTGCATTGACCAAGTCCCTGTGACCACCAGGATTCTTTCCCACGGGGTTTCTGGTGGTCTGTTCCCTCTCAGAGCCTGGAGTCTGGGTTTTCTGGGGTGATAGCCCAGCACAATACCTGCCTAGCTTCATTGGTGCCACCTGTGATTGTGGCCTCAGGGACTATCCTGGCAGAGGGTGGGACCAGAGGAGCCTGAGAGAAATACAGAGAAGTGGAAGGGGAGAGCTATTCTGAGTGGCTCAGAGAGAAAGTACTGAGAGCTGGCGCAGGCAGAGGGCAACAACAAAAACAGGCTGTGGGGATTTTTCTCCTCTCCTCCGAGGAGTCCAGGAGCACCGTGAGAGCTGTGGGCTGCACCACCATTGCCACCAAACCAGAGATGACGAAGGCTCCAAGAGTTCATCCACTGCAGGCCAACAGGCTGGTGCCCTGCACAGACAGAGAGATCTTTATCAGAGTTGAAGGTAGTTTGTTATTCATGGCCAGAGCCATGACCTGAGCCCCAGGCCCCAAGGCAGTGTGGCCAGGGACAGATAGAGCAGGTGGCCATCCAGGAAGCAGCTCTGATCTTCCACAGGGCTGCTAGTGACCTTCCTCTGGGAGGTGACAGGGGCTATTTCACTCTGAAATGTCAGTTTTCTCCTGGAGGGGGAAGCCAAGCCTTTATCTCAGCCATCCTGGGGGTCCCTGCCTCTTACTCTTTTCTTTCTCAGTATTTTCATAGCATTCATCTTGGAGGCTTTCTTTGTGGCGTATTCATTAGGAAAGAGTGAGATAGAAACTGCCATCGAGAAGAAGATTCAAGAGCTCGGAGTAGGAATCCAAGAGTGAGTAGCCTGTTTCCCTTGGTGACTCTCAGACTTTGAAGTGGGACAAACACAACATCCTGATCACGGTTAACCTGTCAGTGCTGCGTTGGCATCTGCCTCGGTGCTGTGTCCCTGGACGGTGATCACTGGACCATAACTGGAAGGCCATGCAGCGGCTTTGACTGAGGTGCTGACCATGCTCCTGTTCTCTCTTCCTGCTCGAAGGGAAGATGTGGAGGACTGGAAGCTCATTCGTAACACGGGCGCCAGGGATTCTGCCTTTAGTGGGAGTGATGGTGACCACAGAATAAAGGCCTCGGAAGGACTGTACTTCAGAATTGCATCAAAAAGTAAGTGGCGAGAGGATGCAAAGCTAGAATGGATCTTGCTGCCTGGAGCACAGATGCAGCTGGGGGGTGGGGTGGGGTGGTGGTGGTGGCTTACCATTGCTCAAGGGTAAGGAACAGGCCCCTCACTGCCTGCGCGCAGGGCTGGTGTCCCAGAATTTCTGCCTCTCCTCCTTCCTGGCCACCACGCCCACTGTTCCTCCTGCTTCTCCTGCGGGCCTTTCAGCTCCTGGTTGCCTGCTCCATCCTTCCATGCTGCTGTGGGCCTTTGCAGATGCTGCTTCCTTCCTTACTCACTCAGACAGCCCTTTTCAGGGGACCCCTCCCCCCAGGCTCCCCAAGAAGGCTGGGTGCTCTGTTAGACTCCTGATTTTCTTTCCAGAAAGGGGCATCTTCAGTGATTATTTTGGTCCCGATCTGTCCTCCTTGCAGATGTAAAACTGTGTATGTGCAGGGTCATGCATGACTTTTTTTCCTCCAAGGTTTCTCCAGGGACTAGCAATGCACCTAGGATAAAGGAGCCTTAACAAGCATTTGTGTCTTTACTTCACTAATTCTGTATTATTAATTAACAACTGCCTGGTACACTTGAATCAGCCTGATCTGGGTTTGGACTCAGTCTGAGGAGTGAGGCACAGATTCCAGGAGAAGTGTGAGCTCCAGCCCTGTGAGAGGTGGCTTCCTCCCTCATCCCACAAGGAAGACATCTGAGTCTTAGGTTTGGAAACTCCATGCAATCCACTCAGCAAGGATGAGTAATTTGTCCTTGAACTATACATCCTTCCTCTCAACTGTTTGGTTATAATATATAACTGTTTGGTTATAATGCTTGGAGCTTAGTCTTCAACTCAGGCCCCTCTTTGAGGATAGCCTTGGTTGCCAGGGCTCCCTGTACCCATACCAACAGATGCCACTTATCCCTTTCTCCTAGAATACCGGACTGTGGATGCCTTACTGCAGCGAATGTTCGAATCTGAAATTGCTTCCAGTGATGAAGGCCCCTCCTTGGAAGAGATTCTGAACTTCTCACCTAGTGACATATATCCCAAGAATCCCAATTTTGAAAACAGTGCATAATTCTGAATTTGTCATGGTCTACATCTGGAAAACAAGAGACGCTGTATCTTTTTTTTTTTTTTTTTTTTTTTTCCTTCATATGCTAGCTGGCGGTGACTTTTCCAGCCTGGGCTCCCTTTTCTGAGCAGAAAAGGCTGTGAATTGGCCTTCTTTGTCCTCAGTGGTCAGATGCCTGGTATAGGAAGGCCACTGCCCTGTGCCCTACCTTGGAGTTACTCATAGGTCTGGTCTGGAGGGTCCACAACTGGAAACCAAATAAGCTGCATCTTTTTGTTTTCATATACTAGCTGGAGATGACTTTTCCAGCCTGGGCTCCCTTTTGTGACCAGCTAAATCTGTGACTCAGCCTTACCTGTCCCACGTGGTCAGCAGCGTGGATCAAGAAGGTCACCACTGTGTACCCCGCTTGGGGAGTGATCCTTAGGTCAGGCCACAGAAGTAAGGATGGGCAAGCTGCTGAAGGGATTGTGCAGAGTGCTTGTCCTATACATGTCTATGCATGTGTGAAGACTTCCCAGAGGGTATATAAAAGCTTTTCATTCATTTTTATATTTTACCATTCTATTAAACCTATACTGTGCTACAATGTTATATGAATTACAAATATTTGAAAAATGACAATGGCTTATGTTCTAATACAGTAGCTTTTAAATGCAGTGATTTTCAAGATGAAGAAACATATGAATATGAAAATATAATTGTCACAATTGCTTCTTTTGGGAGGAGGCAGCAGCATATTCTCAAGGCTCCTTTAATTGAATTATAATCAAGCATGATTTGGAGTCTGAGGACACTTTCCCTAGCTGGGAATCTCCCAGTACAGTGATTTGCTCCTTCTTGGAACTTAGAAGGGACTTATTTTATCTATTAACTTTTAAATAATTTCAATACAATGGGTATAACTTGAAATTTTCCATCTTCACAGTTTCTCAGTCTGGAGAACCTTAGTGGTAAGTATACTTATTAGTCAACTTTCTGTTACTGTAACAAAACATTTAAGATAATTGAAGGAAGAAAGATTTACTTTAGGCCTGGCTTCAGAGGTTTCAGTCCGTGGTGGCTTGGGGCATGTGGCGAGGCAGCGCATCATGGCAGGAGCACATGGCAGCACAAGCTGCTCACTTCCTGTGGATTGGGAAGTAAAAAGAGACCTGGAAGGGGGCTGGGATCGCGAAGTCCCCTTCCAGCGCGTGCCCTCAGGGGGCTAACTTCCTTCTGCTAGGCTCCATCTTTAAGGGTTTTACCACTTCCTGAGGGTGCCCTGGAGGGCAGCCAGGCCTTTCCATGGGCCTCTGGGGAGCACTCATTCAAGCCATAAAAGGCACTCATACTACTGCCCATCCATCTTCACCTTCCAGCTTCACGACTTTTCCATCTTGCCAGGTGGAAACTCTGTCCCTGTTAAACGACAACCATCATTCCCACCATTGCCCTCTTTGTGAATTAGACACCACTGCATAGCAGGCACAGTTTGAGCAAGTACATGCCCAGAGTCATTCTTCCGTACCTTGTCACAGGTCTCGCCCTAAGGCAGGGGGATGGGAGCCCATCCCCACGACCTGAATATAGTGAGACCTGAGCCGTGTGCTCTGCCGTGCGTCATGTGGCCACTGAAGTGAACTTGCAGGGACTTTGTTTCCCCTGTTCTCAGGGGCCTTCCAGGCCTTCTGTTGCAGGAGCAAGACAAAGGCTGTGGACAGACTGGCTGCCAGATGACTATGTCAGAGCGCTCCTGGGGTCCACTTCTGCATATGTGACCTTCCTTACAAGAGTGTGGGAATGGAGGGCAGATGAGCATAGTGTAATGCTGACTCCTGCTCACAGTCTGTGCTGTAACAGAGTCTTCCACAAGTCAAGTTGTTATTCCCATTTTAAAACCACTGCTGGTGTTGGGCACAGGAGCCCTGGAATCCCACTGTCACCAAGATTGCCTGGAACCGCCCCTCTTCCTGTGGTCAGTGGGGCCCCACCATCCCACCAGACTGTCTAATCTCTTTGTGTGTGTAATGTCTATTGTCATGTAAAGGGTGCACACCAAATGTATGTGGTTGCAATTTAATTTTAAAATTTGATATATAATGAGCATTTCTTTTTTTAATTAGCAGAATGCATATTTATTTAAGGAATTCAATCAAGATAGAGAGTAAGAAGTCAAAAGTTGCTCTTTATTCTTTTTTTCTCCTCAGGCCTCTCTTCACTCTCCATACCACCTTTCCAGTGCTCACTGGAAATGAGCATATGTATCCTTCTGTAGCTAAACAGATCCGTTTGTAGTCACTTTTATCATGTATATTCATATGGGATGTAATGCTTTTTAAAAATCTTATGTGTATCGTGACAATCTACTTTTTCTGTTTACCAGTAACTGGTTCATGGTAATACATACAGGTGTATATGGACCAAGTATTGCATCCTGGCAGAATTACATGATTTAAGAATTGAGCGGATCGTGGACCCACACGCTGCTTCAAATGTTCAATCTTAAGGCATCATGGAGTACACCTTGTATACAGTACGTCCTTTTTCACATTGTAGGCCCTGGGCGGGAAGTTGCAAGGTGAGTTACCAGCTGGTTTCAATGCTTAGAAACTGCAGTTCTTTGAGTGGCCGCAGGGGGCGCCCTGCCGCTACCGTTGCACAAGGGCTCAGAGAGTGGGACGCAGGGAGGCGCTGTGGCGCGTTCATCGCCTTTCTTCAGCGCTTTCTGTGCCACTCAGTTAACTAGTTCTCTCAAAGCCCAGGGACTCCCGCAGGCGGGAGGCTGGGGCAACATAATTATATCCTCCTGGGGGCTGCGAGTCCGACTGGAGTCTTGCCCTTGGCAGCAGCGCCCGGCCCTGGCTCGCTTCTCCGCTGCTGGGAAGGGAATGGCAACAGAACATCAGGCAGCCTTGCGTGTCAGTGTAACCTCAGGGCAGCACAGGATGGCTCCACCGACTGTAAGGGCAGAAAGGAACACTCCGGTCTTCTCCAGTCCCCCGTGTGGGCGCTCTGTTCTCCTAACAGCTGAGTCTGAACAATCCAGAAATGCTTTGTCTGAAACCTTCCTGGATGGAACCAACGGAACGGTGCACTGGATCTGAAAGATGGAGGAGGAGGATCAAGGGTTGGTTCCCGGGGTCAGCGTGGAGTGCAAGCGTTTTAGGTGTGCTTGTGTACTGCGGCCAAACGCCCAGCTGCCTAGGAGCGCGAATGTCTCAGGGTCTCAGTCCACTTTCCTCAGTCCAGGAAAGTCCTCCTGATCTTTTCCATCAGGAGTGCACAGGGGGGAAATCGATTTTAGAAGTACTGATTGCCCTAGCCCACAGATATGATCCAGGTGAAGAGGAGCAGGGGCAGGAGCAGGAGCAGGAAATTCCATCTCCTGAGATGGAATTCATCGGCCTTACTCTTAATTAGAATCTGGAGCAGCTGGCGGAGAATGAATGGGAACTGCTTCAGTTGAGAAAGACCCTAAATTTGAACCCAGAACTGCTAGTAGCTAAGGTCTGAGCACCTGGGATGAGCTGGGCCGCTGAGACAGAGGTGAATAAACCTCAGCTCTGTCCTAGAGGAACTTCTGCCTTAGCAGTAGCCTGCCCTGGAAGTCTTTGCCCTCTGAATACTAACTTGTTTGACTTTCATTTCAGGGGCCAGTTAAATATAGAGCTTTCCCCTTCATTTTGACAAACTCGGTGTGCGATCCACACAAGCGGGTTTCACTAAGCAAAAATGCTTCTTTGTACCAGGCATATGTACAAAACTGAAAACTGACTGAGTGCTTAGAGCATCTTATTTTGTCGAGATTGCTTTTCCCAGTCTGGGAGCAGTTCACTGATAGGAATCAGACTGTGAAGTTTAATTGCAGTGAAGCTTTGGCATAGATCATGGGCCAGATGAGCAACAGTGGTGATGACACTGTGATCAGATTGTTGGTATGAACCCCATGGAGGAAGTTTCTGAGTGTGATGCAAGTCCAAGAGCCAGTAATAGCTGATGGGCTGGTGGTGACAAAGGACATGTCAATAGGGGCTGGAAGCTGAAGCCATGCGGTCTTTTGCATCTAAGGCTGAAGGCTCCAATAGCTACTGCTCATGGATCAGTATATTCTGTTTTGCTTGATAAACTGTGGAGGACCACCTGGATGACTCTCCTTGAACAAAGAGCAGTTGCCTCCACTTCGGCTAAAGCTGGCCCCATCTCCATGTACTGATATGTACAGAGCTGGCTAGTCTGCTTCCTTTTCCCTTTAGTTGGCTCTAAGCAATGTAAATAGTGCTAGCTGAGGTGCTGATACATCATCTTGGAAGCTACCACTCCAGGGCTGTCAACCGTGTTGAGCCTTGAGATAAGAGGCTATGATTGCCCAGGGCAGAGAAAGTTTGCATAGCAGAACTGAAGCACTGGCCCCAGAACATTAGATGCTACCTTAATTTGTGTTATGCAGATTAGTCTTTCTGCATATCCTTCTGTCTGCATATTGCAGAAGGGCCAGCTCACGTACTTCCCTTCATTCTCACAGTCTTTCATCCTCAAGCCACTCTTTTCTTCATGAGTTAATAAAATCTGGGTTAGGTCCTGGGTTGAGGTCTTCATTCCGATGAGCCACTATCTAGGCTGGACTTAGGACCTCCTTGACTCTCCATAACTACAAATATGTCCTAGTGTCTTTATTCTCACCATGGATTACACTGGAAGAGGTAGGATGGAATTAACTTGCTAGAATTCCAATAATGTTTCCATGGGATTACAAATCTAAACTTCGTGGACCACAACGAGGCTGGGAAAAGGTGCTCTATAATAAAACAGCGCTCTTAGTTCTGTAGTCTTAGTTTCCTTTGAAAACAGCCATTTTCAATAGGAAAAAGAGACCCCACATATCTGGCTTTGCTTCCATGTGCTTGGCTGTTTAGATACCTTGAGTTCAGTGTTGGTTTGTCTCATGAGTTCTGACCTGGGGTTGTGTTTGGTTTCCCAATTGAGTATATGTGTAATTGTTCATGTAGCTTGCATTAGTGATTTTCCAAATAAATACCTATTTTGGGATTCAGTCTTAATAATTTATCCCACAGACATTGGCACTAGCACTCACTGTTTTGTAGCAATAAAACTGGAACCATGAGGTGTCTAAACAGAGGATTGAGGGCTGGGGACTTAGCTCAGTGGCATAAGCGCCTGCCTTGCAAGCAGGCAGTCGTGAGTTCGATCCCTGGTACCGATACAAAGGAAAAAGACAAAAAATAAATAAATAAATAAACTGAGGAGTGGGTAAATTATGGTATGTTCACGTAGAGGAATGATATATATTGGCTCAATAGATGCAAATATGGACAAGAACTATAGAATAGTACGAGAGATCATGTTTGAAAATGAAACATTAGATACTATCAGTGGATACTTAACATAATTAAAAATGTCTATCTCAAGACAGTATTATGAAACATAATGGGTAAACATTGAAAAAACTTCCACCAAAGCAAAAGACAAGGTTTTCTAATTTAATCTTCTTTCTAAGGTACTAGACAATGACAAGGGAAAATTCACAAGCAAAAAATTGGAATAACATAAAATAATCATTATTTTCATAATGGTGGTTATTTGGAAATTTCAAAAAAATCAACTGGAATTTTAAAAAAGTAATC